AAAACTAGATCGGGATGGCGTCGCAGCAAGTGGCACGCTTAACACACGCGCGGTGTGGAGGTCAGATCTCATCGGCTCCCTCGCAGCACATCTAGGTTGCAATTCCTTTTTCGCTACTGGTGAATCGGTAAGAGAATGCCCGGGAGGATGAGCACACTGGCAACCTAAAGGGAGGGGAGGGGGGCAAAAAAAAGTCACTTTCCCTTCATTGACTTTCGAGGCGCTATAAGTTACACTTTATTGAATTCTGATCGGACATTTTTACCACCATATTAAAGAGCATAATACTATCATGACACTCCGCCACAGCCTTCTGGACGAGCGCCATCGAGAGATTCTGGCACGCGACCGCGATGTGGTGCCTGAGATCAGCGAGATAGTCGATTTCTCCGCCACCGTAGACCACCCTATTGAACTCCGCCCGAACCGGGTAATTGAGGGGATTCAGGTCAGGTGACCTACTTGGATATTCCACCTTCTTTAGGTACTCAGCCCCCTTCCATTCCAAGTAGGCGAGAGTTTCTCCAAACGCCCTTCGATTCCATGTGGTGGCACCCAATGCTGTAGCAGTACAAAGTTTCCAAGAAGGTACGGGCGACGACATGTGAGGAGGATATTCTTCACGAGTTGCTCGATGTAACCGCCAGCGCTCACCTTCAGTCCGGGGCGAAGAAAATATTGGTCTTTCCATTCCAGGTACGTCCGGTCCATACCATCAACCCGCGCCTTGGCGACTGTGGTGAAGATGATGTCCTAGACCGTGGCGACGTTGTCGGAGCTGCTCGATGTTGGAGGTCATCCAGATCGAGAGTACTGGTCTCCAGGTAGCTATCCATGGGTGACTCCATACTAGAAGTTTCGCAGCTGTTTGGAGGTGACATGAATTCCAAAGGTCTTCTCCAGTCAGGCTGCGACTGGAGATGACTTCATATTTTGGTGTACATGAAGGTGATGGGCGAGAGCCAGCTCCTGCTTATCGAGGAACATCTTGGGTATCTTCCGCCCTGGTACTCGTATCCACGTCCTCTGTCTGGGCAGCGAAAACTTTGCTGATATGTGACTCGGTCGAAGTGACTTTTTTTGCCCCCCCCCCTGTATATCGCATTTTAAGCCACTACGATTCCAAATGGAAGTAGAATGCGTGCCGCATCCCAGAAAGGAATGCAGCAATGATGAAGCCATTACCCTTTCACCTTCTAACAAAGAAAATCGAATAATCATATCTGCATATGTTTGTCTCCCTATCCTATGATTTAAAACGTGAGAGCACCAGCCGTTCCCCGTTTTATGGCTGCCAGGCCCCGTTTCACACAAAGGCGCATGCAAAGAGGAAAAATCCCCGACTGCCCCACAATTCCCAAGCATCCGCTGAGTCATAAACCGCAATCAAGGCGCGTCGGCCGTATCGGAACCATTATTCACTATGCCCCAATGTCTCATCCCGCTTGACCTTTGCACTAGCCGTAAAAGGCTTTGATTCAACCAGTAATTGTCCAGTGTTCCCCGACTAATCCACTGCACTGGTGCTGAGATCAATATGCACGGATGATGATTATCTCTGCAAAGGAGAGCACATTAAAAGCCGCTAAAACCACGTATGGCGGAGAAACTCGTCACCCGGTCCTACCGTAACCCTACACCAATACACCGAAACCAATTCGCACCAAGATGGGTGACCGTACTCATTACAGTACGGGAGAAGGAGCTAGCATGCCAGAGATGATAAGAAAAGAGCAGGCTTTGAAATCTGTGGTACCGCCTCAAAGGTACATTGAGCGAACCTGATACACATATATGTCCTCCCTCCTATGAGGCGAAATTACACTCAGCGGTAGAGAGCAGCAAGATGAGATAGGGCGTAGACAAGCAGCGCAGCTGGCTATAATTGGGCGTGTGCCCCTAACCCTTCAGCGCTTTTCCCCTGCGCTCTCCACCGAAAAAAGAAATCACGCCACTGCTTCTACGGACCCGTTCACCCCACATATGGCAGACTAGGATCCACGGATGAAAGTGTACAACTTTCATCCGTGGATCCTAGTTTTTGGATCCAAGCCTTATTCACCGAAGAGCTCTGAGACGAGGGAACACAGCAGTTTCTGGAGCGGAGGCCAAACGGTCGCCTGTTTTCATCTCGATCGTCCCTTCATGCTATGTTTCCAACTTTTCCTGAACCTAGATACCCTCATTCCCTTCCCTCCTCCGCCGCCCTCTCCTCACCAATGAGTCCCACGACGTCAAGGTAAAAAAAACATCCACGATTACGTACACTCACGTGAAAGTATTTACGATTCATCATTTCTAGAACCAAGCCCTGATAGCCACCGGAATACCTGGTGACTTCAGAAAAAACGATAATAAAAATTCATCAATTCAAAGATGTCAGAACATGTCATGTAACATAGATTACCGAAACAAGAATAAAAAGAATATTTTCACAGTTACCTTCATTCGAGGCCGCCGATACAGTCCTTCTTAGTCGCTCTATATCAGCTTTGGCATCTTCAATCAGCTGTTGATGATTGAACGATGTGAACGAAGTATCATTACTCTCCATGAATCCACCGCCACCAAGCGCCTGAAACAGTGGAAATCACCTATCCATTTGACCTGAAAAGGACGTTGACAGGGCGCTGTTTGGTGACGGGGTGGGCATTTTGCACTTCAACGACACCCCATCGATGGTCGACCCATCTAGACAGCCTCTTCTCGAGTTGACAGGTTTTACCATGATGGCTTGACGAGCTTGCTCCAGCTTCACAAGAGTTCACAGGTTTCACCAGAGTGAGACTTGTAAACCTGGAACTAGTGAAGCAACGAAAGTTCAAAATGCTCCCCGCCCGTCGGCAATCTGCGACCATAAACAGATCATAGAAGCGAGTAAAAAAAAGGATTTAAATAGTAGGAGAATAATGGATGGTGTTCGACTTGGAACAAGGTCGTTCAACACTTGAAGGAGAACCCGTTAATCTTCCACAAAACCACTTGAACGGCGCACACTTCATACGGACAGTGATGAATTCATGCGACTCTAATGGACTTTACAGGAAGAGCTAAGCGTTCTGCTCGTATTCAGGTGGATAGTGGCAGTCGAGCATCCACAGAAAGATAAAGACAGAGATTTCTCCTCAGTTAAACCCTTTCCGGCTGCTCCACGCATCCCACTTCCATTCAGAACCGCAGGGGCATTTTGAATGTGATTAAGCATTACGGTTTAGGGGGAGGGGGAGCGGGGCAACCGATGAAGGAAGCGACGTCCCTGTTAGCCTCCAGAGGGGTCACTCAGAGCACATATACTCGCCGTTTGTAACTACGCTACGTTTTATACGGAAAGTTCATTTCTTAAACATTCTCCCCGCTGTCATAACAGGCTTTCAGTCTCCCAAGAATACTTGATGCTCGGTGTAAACAAATCCTCCCGAAATAGGCAGGGACAGACGAGGGGTTGAGGGTGTAGGCTCATGTCTGCATCTTGAACGAGCTCGACTCCTGCCTAGGCACAAACCATGCTTTGCAAAAATTGGAAAATGGTGGCGATACCAGACATGCGTCAGGCTCCTGTTGACAGGTCAGCTGATGGTCACAAAAAATGATTAGAAGTCAAAAAAGTTTGAGGAGACAATCAACAACCCCGGGAACGTGGAACGATCCACCAGCCTGATTGGAGTCGTGTCTACCAGAACAATAGTAGGATAGTTTCCCTTGCCAGTGTGCTGTTACTCCCCCCCCCGCCCACTCTACAATCTACCATAAGATTGCGCTCTCGAACGCCTCTTTTCGATCGAAAAGTCTGCAAATTTTTCGACAAACTAGCTGAAGCCCTTCAAATCATTACGAAGCCTACCTAACGACAAGCAGCCCTTGTACTGTCTAGTAAATGGCTACCTCTAATGACCGCTTGCGAGTGCGACTTGCTACGATAAGGTATTGTACGGTGAACCTTGTCGCATCGCTTCTGGCTAATCAACACGACCGCCAAGCCCATCAAAAAGCAGCGGCGAGTTGCGGCGGTTACGCCGCGCAGCGCAAAATGTGCGGCATCTCTAGCTGCACCTAAATGATTCAAAGTCAGACGTCGCGCTCATCCAATCCGTAGGCTTCCTTCCCTGCCCGGGTGGCCCAGTGCGGAATTGCGAAGACTGTCCTACTTTCGTGTCTACCGAAGTACTAGGTCAAGGAAGGAATCCTATGAACTAGTTAAAGACAAACCTCGCGACTGCATATTGTGGGCAGTGTCGTTCGACAACGAACCCATAGGCGCTAATGTGGCTCTCCACGATAGGAAAAAAGCAAAAAAAAATCGAGAAGAACTTTGTGATGAACTCATGGTAGCCTGTGCGAGTTACCCGGACCTGCACGATGCAGACAAAGGGATATCCTGCCGCCTCTGGCTCACAAATCGTTTCTCCGCGTCACGCGATGCCAATAACCTAACAGTGAAAAGAGAAACAGAAAACGCGGTGTAAAAACCGAATTCGCGGCAAAAAATACCAATGAGTTTTGGTGGGCGGGGCAACTAGGGAGGCGTCACGACTGCCGTTATTTTACGTAACGCTCCGCCTTCGTTACTTCCAGCGAAGCCGCGAAAGGAAAGACGGGTACGAATTGCTTGAGCGCGGGGTCAGTTTTTAACGTAGAAACTTTATAGCACGCTGATTAAACTAGATTGCACTGACTAGTTTGTGCATGTCACCGCAACGTAGGTCTGCCCTCTCCTCCGCCCCTCCCTCCCTCACCCCACCCGACACACACAACAGACCATGGCATCTAGCAAACATTCAGTCAGGTGGTAGTTCCACGTCCAGTTCCCACGAGCTACAGATGACCCAGTGTGTGACCACTCAAAGAGAAGAACAAGGTGAATACCGTCATGATCAAAGCAAAATACGAAGCCAAAACCGCTTAAAATGAGTCACAGGGCTTGATAACGAGGGCAAGGAAAGTAAAGTATACAAAGCGATAAAAAATCAAACAAAAATCAAAAAAAAAAGATCAAAAATGTCTCAATAGCAACTGAATGTGAACGTAATGTTCACACGAACCTGATTCTTCCACTTATTCATCTCCTTCCTCAGTTGATTTGCCACCGCTTGGGACTCGTAGAGCTGCGATCGCATTCGTTCCAATTCCTCCAGATATTTTCGGACAGTGGCTTGCACCGGATCCATTACAGCATCATTCGAAGCAGAACTGTTTGCTTCTGAAGGTCACTAGTGTTTACTTCAAGGATAGGGGACACTTTTCGTTATCATGAATTTGCCAAAATATTGACAAAAAAGATCGACCCAGTGGAAACTGGACCCGAACATCTAGCAGAAAACATCACAAAGGCTCACCATCAGACGAACCTCCGTGCTCATCAGCTGGTGTGAGCACAGAGCAACCGTTTGGACCGAGATCTTTGGCCATGAGGGCGGAGAATCTCGTTCGTTTCTTGCAGAGCTTTCACACGGAATCTCAGTTGGTTGATCTCCGCCTACAACAGTGACCTCATAACATCTATAGCATTATAGCTGCTTACAAACAAGCCTCCGTCAAAAAATGGTGATTTACGGCTCAAACTCTAATGGCAGGGTGGCAAGTGGTCCAACAGTGGAGGAAGAAACAGGAGAAAACATCCAAAATGCCTTAGACAGGACCCTCTGCCGAGCTTGCATGAACGTACAGGTCGAACAGGTAAGCCAAAACGATCGGAGAGAGTGAAGGTCTGGGTTTTGTAAGCGTTCGGAATTGAAGCAGCGCCTGCGATCGCCTTTCGCAGGTTGAAGGGATCATAATCTCAAGACCATGTGGTAAGTGGAAGTCTAAAGAGGAAAACACCATTGAAAACGCTCAAAATAAGACCTCATGTGGGGGGATAAGACCTCCTGTACAGGATCAGAAATCGAGTTAACCGAGTTTGGGAGAGTGAGCATGGCACAAAATGCGGAAGGTCTCAAATTTCAGGGGCGATATTCAAGGACTGCACAGCGGGGCTAATGGTGGTAAAATAGGGGGGCGACGCTGCGAGGGAACTAATCGTGAACGTCTGCGCACTCCCACTGAGATGATGATCTCTTCTTCCAAATCCAGAAAGCTCCGTGCTAAAGTGTAGACGGGGATACCAGAGTGGGTGGAGAGTCTCAGCCAACATGGAAAGACCCATTTCGGATCTTCCCCCTTTAACTTGCGCTATACCCCTTTCGACGGTTAAATCTGGGGAAAATTTTAGGACCGTGGGACCGATCGTCATCCCACGCAAGACTCTTTTGTTCCAATTTCAGGGGGAAACACCACCAAATTAGAACAAAAGAGTACGATTCAAAAGCGAGAAAAAAACAAATGAGATCAAATGAAGGTTAACAGCAAGCGAATAAAAAGAGGTAACCAATAAGTAAACAAGTAAACAAGTGGAAAATTAGAAAAAAAAACGAAGAAATGTGGACCCACCGTAAGCATTACATTCTCGTGATACTGATCATTAACCGTTTCAACGCCATCGATACCAACTGTTCGTCGGCCCTGTTTGAACTCGAGTAGTTCAGCTTCAAGTGCCGCTATACGACCTCGTAACTCGCCAATAAGTTTTGATGACTTGTCTTGATTGGCCACCACCTACAAATGAACTTATTTACCAGAACACAACAAAAAAACAGATAAGAAAAAGAGAGAAAAAAGTTAACAGCAAGCAACCCTCTTAGCCATGGAACTTCAAATACTAAACATATCAGCACGCTGTCTTTAACCTACACAAGGCAAGATGACACTAACCCAAATGGAAATATCCCACAAAAAAGCGCATTTTACACCATATTCAAATGAAATACGCAGCTAAGCCCTCAGAATCCAAGTATACCCACCTTATTCTTTATGTTCTTCGCACGATTAGCATATTTCAACGTGTTCAACGTCTCCACAAAATCGCTATCACTGGGAGAAACACATGCAACCATTAGAGTACGGCTGAAAAATAGAAACAAAAACACCAACTCGAAATAAAGAAATATAAGAAAATCAAAAAATCAAAGCAAAGGTACATCTATTATACCTATTCCCTCCTAACGAGTCCTGAAGAAGCCTCGTCAGCTTTGAATCACGATATGGTACATGACTGACTTTACCATTAGCACCACCAAGCGCACTGATTACATTACCAAGAGCAAGCTAAAAATTGTTGAAGTAAATGCACTAAAAGCAATGCCAGCAGAAGTAACACACATGATCCTAAGCACCCACTGGGGAGATGGGCATTTAGGCTTGGTGGGAACATTTTGCCGGCACCCGACCTCTGCCGATGCCTGCTGTGGAGAACTGTGAGCTCTTGTAAAACTATCCAGTAGCAATCTACAGGTCTCATCAAGTCGACACGCCTAACCAAGGCGAAACGAGTAGTTTAACGGGTGCAGACAAAAGGAAATAGTTAAAACGAAAAATCCCCCCCCCTCCCCCCAGCCTAATGTGCCAAATTCTAGCCAAATGAGAGGTATGCAGCACTTCTTTGAGAATCTACTCTGTGTCTCTGCGACAAGGTATTCCCAGCAGATCCCCCTACCTATTCCCTGCTACCACAGATCAAGCTGCCCCTCTGCAGCTGCAGAGCCAGTAGAACGAAGGGATCGTTCTCTCAGCGGGAGAATGCAGGCAGATAGATTGTCACAAGTCTCCTCTCTCCAAATTCCAGCGACCCCCTAGATGTCTCATGCGTTCGGCCAATTCAAACTTGAATAAAAGAATAATTCTATTAAAAACACATACCAATCCACAATTGATGCTAATTCCTTCTTTGGCTCGATCACCAGTAGCACCAGTACGTTTCAATCTCTCAGATCCAGCCAAATCCACAAAATGGAACTTTGCCGATAGCATTTCCATTTCAGTCTCCTGCAAAATCAGCGTCGAGAGATGATGACTACCGGATAAACAAAAATGAGGGGAAGTTTGAGCATAAATACTCACCTGGTTCATAACCGGTTCAGCTTCTGGGGATATGGCTACCCGTTGTTGCTTAATGTGCAACGAGAAAATAGCGTGTGATCGTGAAGATTGTTCATTCATGTTCGTTGCAGCGACTGTACGATTCAGCGCCCCGTTTTTCAAAATTTCAAGGGTCTAAACAAAAGTATGACAAAACGAAACTCATCGCTGTTAACACTAGCACAGAAACCAACATAATATAGCTTGTATCACAGATAAAAGAGCATTATGGACTTGGAAAGGGAAAACTCTCGGGGTTGACGCCGCGTCCATACTTCGCGATGAGGAGATTCCGCGAACCGGGAGACTTGACGTTTCCGGCGATTGTGCGTCAAAGGAGTGGATGGGTATCGATCATCGCCGGTCGCTAGCGATTGCGGATATTCGGCGATTTCCATGCCGGACCGCCGAGTCTCCCAAATCGGCGAATCGCTCAATCTCCCTAATCGTCGGATCAATACCTATAGTTTTCTCAAGGCGCAACCTCTCAAAACGTCGAGTCTCCCGTATTGCCGAATCTCCTCAGTCCAAAGTAAGAACACGGCTGACCACATTATGTCTGCTCGTCTGCATCCTCTCATCGAGACACTGCGCCTGCTCTCTCTGACTTGGAAAGAATGCGCCTGTTGCTCCAACAATGACATGGCTAAAGTCTCTCCCGATGAAAGTGATAATACAGACCCATAACAGGAAATTATGCAAAGATAAACTGAAATAGAGCGGAAAACAAAGGAGTTACGACTCAACGAAAGTTGAGCCTCGCTCGCTTGAGTCACTGACCAAGAAGTTTGCTTAACATGATTCAGCAAAGCGTTAAAGATACATAGTGCAATGAAGGGGCAACAGAACTTGGAGGAAATAAAACCCAGCGCTGTTCTGCTTTGGAGGGGCACTTTGCAGCTTCGCTGGTCCTTTTGACTATCCCTGTCAAATTACGCTATATCATAGTGAGACCTACATACTTTAAGCAAGTATGAACAGAGCTCCTACTACCGCATAACTCTACGGGACCTTACACCTTACAGCAGGACGACCCGCTTCTTCCCTTCCTCCCCCCCCCAAACCGGACAGAGCCGAAAGGCTTTTTAGGTGACTCCTCGACGCTCTGGGTTTAAATTCGTAGATAAATGAAGGGGCAAACCACTGGTAAACTCTATAAAGCATAAAATTTTTCATCAGTGCTGTTCTAATTCGTGACCCCCTTCCTTGTAGACGGGAGACGGAAAACGACTGAGCGCGTGCTAAATCAAAACCCTTTCCAAAGTAGGCACGATACAAGGAAGGATCACGCAGTACAACAGTACTGATGGCAAAAATTCTATATGTTCTACAAAAATATGTTAGAGAAACAAGAAGATTTTTAGGAAACAAGAGCTCACCGAATGAAGATCCTGTACTTGTTTGGTCGCTACACCATGAAGATATATCTCACCACGAGTATCCTCATGTATACGTATGTTTAGCGAGGAAGAACGATCATTCGACAACAGATCAATGATCTCTTCGTTGTAGAGCTGCAACAAGTTAAACTCATATGTAGCAAATGACTGAAGTATGAAGCATACTAGTAATGACCCTTATCACCTCCTACCACATGCTGCTAATGCCCCTGTCAAACTCGGCATTGCATTAGTGACTTGGGACTAAACTCTCAACGCCCCTTATCAGCAAATATCATTCACTACCACCATAGTACCATTCTCATTCGGCATCACCGCAATGACTTCTGACTCACCTCCACGGCCTTTTCAGCTCTCTACCAGTTGTGCAGTTGTAATCACTTGCTGTCGCAGGCTGATAATGTCTCCGTCACATTCTGCATTATCGCAATGGCATGGGCTAACCTTTCAGCACCTCTTATCAGCGATTATCATTCACTATCACTCGCTACCAATATTCCAGTCTCATCCAGCAGTACCACAGTAACTGGGAACTGGCCTTCCCACCCCCTTATCAATCCTTACCGCCCGTTCAGTTTTTCTATCGTGCCTTATCAATGTTTCCGCCACACTTGCCATTACCGCAATGACTTGAGACTAACCAACCTTCGAACGTCATCAGCAAGTATCATTTACTATCACCCGCTATCATGTCTCAGCCGGGATACAGGCAACAGAATCGTAGACTGCAGCTCCGCCGCGCGCGGTAAACTACGACCGGTCGACTGGGCACCGGATTTCACGCTATGAAATAGTAGACATTCATGACTACTTTCGATCTACATTGCCTGTTGTCGCCGATCTACGACCGAGGAAGCCTGCCGTCGGCTGCGCGTGACGCCGCACGCGACGCCATCAAGTAAGTTCGATTCTCATTGTCCCGTACGACCGTTCACCCCATTCGACATCGCTGTGTTTTGAGACTAACCTTCCAACCCTCCAACGTCACCTATCAACCTTTATCAGTTGTTATCGCTTTATATCACCCACTACCAACGTCCCCATCATTCGCGATTGCGCTCATACCTAGGACTCTATGACCAATGAAAGAATCGTCGGAAAATAACAACCGTTTCCAACAGGGGGGGGGGGGGCGTGAGAAACAAAACAAATGCAATTCGCAATGAAAACATTAGTAAACAAAAAAAAAAAAAAGCAAAAATCACGTCTATAAATTGCACGGCAAACATCAACCCAAGGGTCGGCTCAAGAATGCCGCTTTCTCGAGCTTCTTGTTTCAAATCCGAAACCCTACGGAAGACATGAGCTAAGGCCCGTGGAATAACGCCGACCTCAAAGAAAAATAAATATTCAGAAAGAAAAGAAAGTTCAAGAGCCTTGATCAAGAAAAAAAGCACGCACTTCATGCGCTGATACTGCACCCGGTGTCGAAAGCCGATTTACCACGAACCCGTCTAAATATTAAGCTACTTGGAAATTATTATTAACTTTCTGTAGTAGTAAAAAGAGGCAAGTAAGAGCGCGGTATGCTAGCGTTTTGAGCGTTTTCATCGACATGCAAGGCATAGATATCGATTCAGCTTTTGGAGCGACTACCCGCGAAACGCCCAAAACGCTGGCGGGGTGTACAACTCAAGGCGTGACGTCAAAATTGAACGCAGCTCCTAAGCCTAGTCCATGAAAACAAATTGGAAAGGACACCCTACCTGGCCATAAGCGAGAACTGTAGCATTGAACCCATCAAAAAGACCGTTAACTAGTTTGTCTATACATGAATCATAGATTTCAGCTTGTTGAGTAGCTTGGTCGAATACATGGTCATAAGTGAATGAACGGTCAGTGCCAATAGTAACCTAGAAATTAAAAAAAAGGAATAAAAACATGGAACAATCAAATAATCAAATAAGTAAGGTGCCAAGGTGGTTAAGGAATGAGGTTGTTTGCAATGAAATGAGACCATGCCGTTTTCTATTCGTCTGCGTCTTCAACGAGAAAGTGTGTGATGGGTATGATGAGGGAAGTGGATGAGATTGATTGACGCTAGGGAGGACGCAGACGAACAGGTGCGCACTAGCCTAACCCACTGCATCTCTCAACTACTAGCAGATGGATGCAAAAACAATAGCAATAGAAATAGTGGGTCAGGCTTGGAGGGACATTTTGCACTTATGTCACCTTGGTCACAGCTGTAAATTCCTGTGAAGCTGCGAAATTGTTCAAGTGAACCGCAGGACTTTACAGGCTTTTACAAGATGACTTGAACAAACTTAGCTAGCTACCATTCAATGTCCCCCCCCCAAGCCGAACACTCCCAAAACAAATAAAATCAGCTGTAAAGAAATAATACGCAGCACACCTGAGGTTCACCGGGGATAACAGATGTGCACACACGACTACCTTCGAGTTTTTCACGGTTTCCTTGGGGTCGTATTCTGAAAGATAATTATTTTTTAGTTAAGAGCGAAAAGATCGACTGCAAAGAATCAATGGATGTTTGCGGTGCACGCATTCCACTTTCGCTCAGTCTTATTGTTAGTGCTTCACTGGAAGACACTACAATAAGACTGAGCGATAAAGTGGAATGATGCTGGCCTATCCCGACCTGGGACTTTGAGGGAAGCGGGAGGAGACCATTGCAATCAGCTGTACCTGACCCTCTCTCGGGGGGTAGAACCTGAGTCCTTGTCCTTGGGCAGAATCTGACATCCATCGCGCACGATGGGTTTTGATCGATTGATTTGGGTGATAGGAAGTGATATCAGCTACAGACTGATAATGGCTTCCATGATATTTTCACCAGGACGTGCAAGAGGTTTATCCTATAGTAACATGTGGAAAGGTAGGAAAAGGAGGCATTCGCGACAGATGATAGTAAGTGATAACAACTGATAAGAGCTGATAAAGCACTTAAATGTATAGCGCGCTCGTGGCAATAGTGAAACGGCGGGTCCAGAACAGCCGAGAAGCGTGGCTAAGGAGAGGAATTAAAAAGGCACGAAAAGCAAGTGAAAATTATTGGCCATGACAATCTATCCATCACATTGGGACATCGGACTACCTTTCCGGCTTTTGAGCAGTTTCTTTAGGTCGGTTCAGCGTACACCGCAAAATCGTGTCAATAAGCGTCTAAGCACGATAACGCATCATTTCTAGTTCAAGTGCGTTTTTTGTGACAAATCAGAACTACAATTTTTGCAGATTAGCACCCTTCCTCCCCACAATCGGCGGCACTACAATTTTACTACCGCTGATAGTTAACGATGAAAAGAGGACCTCTCTCCACTTTACGGACTTTTTTTGGGGGAAAGGGTCGAAGTTAAGAAAAATGTTTCCCAACACTAGCGCCAGGACATGTCGTGGTTAGGATAATGAATCCTCTAGACATTCCCTCTGCAATCCTTGACCTAATTCAAAATACAGAACTCGGTCAAAACTAATGTAACTCGGTCATTTCTCATACGATCCGGTCGTAATGGGATCCGAAAGTTTCTATTCGACCTATATAGATCCCTGTTGAGTGCCTGTGCATACGAAAAAGTACCCCATTTCCTGCTCAAAATATGGGCCACGATTATCGATCGGTCAAAGCTGTCCAGCCTGCAGATAAAGCGTTTGCCGTTGGTCAGTCCGTTTTTAGGACGCGGCACGCATTCCACTTCCATTCGGAATCGTAGTGGCTTATTGAATGCGATGTGGCCTAAAGAATGACGCGGAAGCCAGCAGACGTAAGTCAGCGCTCTTATCCTCTGATTGTCAGATTAATCTGCTACCGATTTACTGTCCCGCAAGGTAGAAGGCTTGGTTGACCTAAGCGGGAGCCGATCCGAGATTTGAACCCGAACCGCGTGCGTGGAAAGCGTGCCACTTTCCACAACACCATCTCCGCCTCAACGGAGGTCACATCAAACTGAATGAGACCTGCTCTCAGGGTGTGTTTTCGCTAACTACTCTTTGTAGTCTTCCACTTGATTCTCACGGGCCTTGTTGGACCTCAGCCTTCCTGCCCCTTTACAGACTATGTTAGCCGACCTTCCCTGATCATACCCCGCTACTGTCCACTAGTTTAAACAATACAGCGATCACTCGAAGTCCAATGTCAACACGGTCAGCACCGGTTTCGACTCATCTTCGCGCGGCGCCGCCGAAAGTACAAATAGAGCTGAATGACAAATCGGCTCGTAATCGTAACCACACACTGGGATATATTTGGACCGGCGGTGTCCACCACAAGAACGTATGAAACACCTTTCAGAGTCTCCGTTCGACCACACCCCCTATTATGCCTGCAGGAATCATGCAAAAGGAATTCGAAAACGTGGTTTTCACAGCCCACTTCTCAAAAAGGTATGGAAAGTGTAATTTTCATGACAATGAATCCAAGTTCTTGTAAAAGCTATGTCTTTAACTCCTTGGATTACAACGGCAGACGTGGTTTAGTGGCAAGTAGCGCCGGACCGACGATCGAATCTCGGAGCTCCCTCCCGAGTTAAGCCCCATCCCTCTCGTGGCAGGTATTCGGTAGCAGATTTGTCTAGAACTACGAAAACATCCCTTTACTTATTGGCTGACTCCAGTAGGTCACTATATTAACAAAATCGTACTCAAAAGTCACCATAATTTCGGGATGGAAGTGGAATGCGTGTCGCTTCTCAAAAAGGATCTGATCAATAACGAAAGCTCAATAATGTATGCTTGAATGGATATAATATCCCACTCGATCGGCTGCCCCGACCAAGGGGGGATGCTGCACTAGTTCCAGTTCCAGGTTTCACTCTGGTAAACCCTGCGAACGCTTGCTAAGCTAGAGCATGTTCGTCGAGTTACCATGATAAACCTGTCAACCCTTGTGAACAAATGAAATAGCTCGCTGGCTAACAGCAAAGTGCAAAGTGCCCCTCCCTCGTCGCCGATCTGCGCCGGACAAGAGGTCCCAGCGGCCGACTCATGTGGTAGCGAGATGTACGAGCTAAACTTGAATAAACACCCTCTAGTAAGCTTCACCTAGGGCTTTGACCGGCTAAAACGGGCACGTCCATACGTTGAGGGTCCTCATCTATAGGGGTCGTATTTGGCCGTTGGGGGATGTTTGTATTTGCCTCTTATGGTTAGTGCAACGTTTTCAGCTGTTGACTTTTTCCTCGATCTTTCCTGTTTCGTTTGCGCTGTAGAATTACCCCTCTTCATCGCCCTTTCCCTCCTGCTCGGCAGAAGGCTCCTTTTACTTAGATAGGATGTATCTTCAAAAAATTTCTTCCAGCGCAAGAACGTGCCTGTAACTGGACAGACACAGGAGTCAGCATATACTAACCTCTAAGGGTAACCCTCTAACTAGTAACCAGTGGTCCTCTCAACTGCGACACTTTCGATGCATAGCACAGTCAGCACCGTGTCGTTAGGCAATGGCAGGCTGTCACCACTCAAATGGGTAACATAGCAAGACGGCACACCGTTAGCTCCATTCGTTGGCAAGGTCACGACCGTCCAAAAAGACAAAGGACTTAAGGCGAATAAGAGGGACTGGACAATTAGGGGGGGGAGCCCTCACTAGAGTTTTTTCCGTAGTACAAGAACTCGTTTCATGTAGAAATAATTTCAACAAAGTGCATGGAAAAATAACGCTGGACGCTAAAAACCTTTCAGAGGGCACCTCTTGCAAAACTGGAGTTAGCAACAGAAGCGAAGCTTGGAGGAGGAGCGGTGTTTGTTAGCTCGAAAGCAATTGACAAAAAACACAAAGAAAAAGGATGTAAAATAAAAATAAAAAAGCAAAAAATCGGTTCGCTCATCTCGAGAGAGAGAACGGGCTTGAGTCCTGCCCTACTTAGCATGGCAAAGGGGGGGGGAGGGTGAATCGGGGCATAAAATCACTCGTTGGGGATTTTAGTCGAGCTGTACGGACCTCCCTGGAGGAGGGGGGAGGGGGAGGTGGGGAGAGGGTAAATAGTAGCAACAATGTGATAAGCATCGAGTGTGTACGACCTCCCCCCTCTACCAGTCTACCAATTTTCAAATTTTCCCCAAACTTCCTGCCACTTTCTTCCAAAATTTCCCGAAAACTTCCCTACTTTTTACCGAAAATTTTGCTGTCGAGCGGGGGAGGGGGGGGGGTATATAGTAACGCACGATAGGAAATCGCGAATGGTACGTGAGTCAACACCACTCCCATCGCTCCTAGAAAGGCCAGAAAGTAAATACGACCTCCTAGAAAGGCCAGAAAGTAAATACGACCCCTCCCCTTTACACGTCCCATGAAGCCAGAAAAATCAACTATCAAAATAAATTTTTCCCTGCCCCAATACGACCCCCCCCTTTCCCAACGATGTGCCCTAGGGTGAATACTCTCCTCTTCATTACGGACTGTCGGCCATCAGCCAGGGTATGGAGTGCGCACAACGACTGTTTGAAGCTGTTATCAGCATTTCTCGTTGAAAGGCGTATGCGACAAAAAGTGGTAGAAAACGAGTAATACGAAGGATATAATGCTGTCATGTCATTTGCTCGCTTCAACAACTGGTGCAGAAAGACTTTGGCACCGCGGAAAACGCAGCCGCACTGACCCGCCCCGACAGTCCGTAATGAGAGGAGTGTATGTCATTCCTTCCCAATCACTTATCTGCTGATGGAAATGTATTCAAAGGCATATATGAATATCGACCCATAGCCCACAAATGACCCACAACTTACCTCCCCCTCTCTTCACTCAAGTACTCATAAAATCTCTTATGGGAGTCGGATGTACGGCGTAACTGGAACGGATCGATGAAGTCACCACTTCATCGTCTTCTATATCCCCCAAAGCCCTTGCAGAATGTGGTTTCTTTTATTGCCACCATGAATATGAAAAGAGTCCTGGCGGATAAAAGCATTGATCCCTCATGTACTCAACACTATCTCTTCCAGGGCCTAATAATGCCCCTAAATGAGTGCAGGGCAGTCAGGCATAAAATAGCCGTCCTGCAAAATGGAGTCAGATTGCCAGCTTTTCTGAAAAGTGGGCACTTTCAAAAGAGCTATCCCTCATACTGGCACGGCACAGAAACGGGATGAAAGAGATGACAGTGTTATATCCTCCCAAATTTCAGCCTCTGATACGACATCATTTCCGCCCCCTCCCATCCCCTCTTCCACCAATCCTACCTTTCATCTTCCTGAGTGTTCCCAACTTTCTACCATTTTTCCCAATGCAGAAATTTTTCTGTTTCTCCTCAACAAGTGCCGTCAAGCTATAGAGGGGGGAGGGGGAGCTGATCGTCACCGACGAACTACTTATTCCAAATATTGAGAGGGGGTTATGCATTAACCTGCTGGTTACTCTGGCGCAACCCTTTATCACTGCCACTTCAATCCACCTTTAGAGCGCTTTTGGCACTTGTCCAGCATATGTTAGCACATACGACGACGCAGACCCGATAGATGAGGGTCTAACCAAGACTCCAAGGACCAGACTCCAAGGATTTTGGCCAAAGAAGACAAGGCGGGGAAGAAGGCGCTCCAGAGTGGATGTACCGCTGTCAATTACGATAATACCATTCGCATTACGGTAACACTACTTTCAAACTAGTCTTTTCATGCCCCCATCCTCTCCCCCCTCCTCTAGCAGACTTGCTCCAAATCCGCCTTCTGCTAAGGGGCCAATTAATGCATATAAATGGGCCCTGCATAAATACTAGTGCTAGTTATTACCTGAGTGCAACTTGCACCGTCGACGGTACGTCTCCACCACGGGACGACACCATTGATGACGATACACTGGCATCCATTTCAAATTAATTTTGTGAGTACAATATGCTCATCGGTTTAATCTGAAAAGCACATGTATAAGTAGAACATTCAAAGGAATTACCATCAGCAACAACGTTTGATAACAAAAAGAAAAGCAATACTGATGGAGAGTACCCAAACAATATTGTACAACCTACTCTCAATGGACCTAAAGGCGCTCAGTCATTTACCTTGGTTAGATAGGGAGTTATCCCCACCACTTGGAAGGATTCCACAGAACGTAAGAACGGAATGCATGCAAGATAAGGCAAAAACAGATGCCAGATTCAAACGAGAGCAGCGATAGTACAGACACGTGCTAAGAAGTCCTAAAGACCACCAGATAAGGAAAGCATTGAACTTCGAAGATTGAGGCAAGCAAGGTACAGCGTCGTTGGAAAATCTCTTCAAGAGGCCGCGCTTGGTAGGTGGGGAGGACGAGTCGCATCTGGTCCCACCAGAAATTTTTCCAAGCCGCAAGGGAAATTTTACGCTTTCCGTTCGCGGTTTTTCCCTGTGTCTGAGAGTTACAATATCCCCCACTCCTCAGGCAGCTTTCGAGGGGAAAAATAAGAAACTGGGCAATGAGGTCGTACCGGAAGAAATTTTTTATAGAGGATCCTCTGACCGTCATTTCTTACACTCCGTGCTGTAGCCCGCAGGCACGCGAGCATGAGGAGCCTCAACGAGGAGATGGGGGAAGAGACGTTATCAAGAAGACACTTCATTGTGACAAGGTTGTGGCTAGAGAGGAATAACGCCGTGGAGAAGGAACAGAAGGTACCAGAGTTAAGCAGACGCTTTCAAAAAAAGTTTCTACTCGATGCAACCCCACGGCTCCCTTTACCAATACGCCCACTCCTTTACAGAACAAGTATGAACCCTGCTAAGAATTTCTCAACGCATGCGCGAGTTTCATGGGCGGGCGCTCCACACAGCTTGGCGAGACTCACGGCTATCGCTCTTGAGGTTTAGAAACGATTTTGAGGTGGTCCCCCTAGACGACTCCTACAACGGCAGACTTATAAGCTCACATAATTCAGGCGATTTTCTACAAACTATTCAATGTAGATTATTTTTTTCGGTTTTCCAAGCAGTACAGGGGATAACTCAGAGATTATAGATTGCTAGATGACCCATAGAGTTGTACTAGAGAGTTAAGTTGGTTTCATGCACACTCTAAATGCTTATAATTGGGAAGGGAAGGGGAGAGAATGACGGACTATCCAACAAAAATGCTCAATCGCACTTCTAGCTCAGCAGCTTCATTCGCTTCGTTAGCAAAGGCGGTTGACAGCAAAACTGCAGCTAGGCAAATAGGACAACGATTCCTAGACGACTAGCTTCATCTAGTTCGACATGATGGGTCATTGCTAGCGATTATTATTGCTAAATCGCCAATGATCGAATGAGCAATCCAATTAATGTTATTCCGAAGAGCAACAGGTTTCTGATCTTTAACGCGTATTTTTACGCATGACAAGGTTAACAGAAAAACCTGCGATTGCTGCAGCGCGCTTGATGCCTTCCATGCCCACTACGAGAACAGATTGCTCAACACGTGGCCAAGGTAGCGATTTATTAGCTTTTTGAACAACTCACTCGCCATAAAGGACCAAGCTTTCGGCCTTCCGGCTTTCGGCGTTATTTTCTTGGGTATGAGGCTCATTGTTCAAAGAGTGAGTGACGCATCCCAACAGAACTACTTTCTACACACCCGTGTATAGCGCGCGCCGTCGCCTCGATTTTGTGTGTTGCGAGAACGCACGCGAAAAAATTTTCAGCACAAAACAGCGTTTTTCTTTAGTGAATTTGCTTATTCCTATGCTTTAGTTGCCTTCAAAACACCTTCGGTATTCGGAATAGACCCTCGCAGTGACTATATACAGGGGGGAGGGGGCAAAAAAAGACATTTCGACCGAGTCACATATCAGCAAAGTTTTCGCAGCCCAGACAGAGGATACGAGTACCAGGGCGGAAGATACCCAAGATGTTCCTCTATAAGCAGGAGCTGGCTCTCGCCCATCACCTTCATGTACACCAAAATATGAAGTCATCTCCAGTCGCAGCCTGACTGGAGAAGACCTTTGGAATTCATGTCACCTCCAAACAGCTGCGAAACTTCTAGTATGGAGTCACCCATGGATAGCTACCTGGAGACCAGTACTCTCGATCTGGATGACCTCCAACATCGAGCAGCTCCGACAACGTCGCTACGGTCTAGGACATCATCTTCACCTCAGTCGCCAAGGCGCCAGTTGATGGTGGGGACCGGACGTACCTGGAATGGAGAGACCGATATTTTCTTCGTGGGCCCCGGACTAAAGGTGAGCGCTGGCGGTTACATCGAGCAACTCGAGAAGAATATCCTCTCCACATGTCGTCGCCCGTACCTTCTTGGAAACTTTGTACTGCTACAGGATTGGGTGACACCACATGGAATCAAAGGGCGTTGGGAAAACTCTTGCCTACTTGGAATGGAAGGGCGTTGAGTACCTGAAGAAGGTGGAATATCTAAGCAGGTCACCTGACCTAAACCCCCTCAATTACCTGGTTCGGGCGGAGTTCAATAGGGTGGTCTACAGTGGCGGAGAAATCAACGATCTCGCTGAACTCACGCACCCACTGACGGTCGCGTGGCAGAATCTCTCGATGGCGCTCCTCTGTGGCGGAGTATCATGATAGTATTTGATATGCTCTTTAATATGGTGGTAGAAATGTCCGATAAGAATTTAATAAAGTGTACTTATAGCGCCTCGAAAGTCA